AGCGCCCGATAGTAAGACACTATCGGGCCCCAAGGCTAGCACCCTATAGCCAGTGGCACCCTATCGGGCGCGCTTCATACCGCCCGATAGTGGGTAATCGGGCACTATCGGGCGCGCAGCTAGCGCCCGATAGCGAGACAACTAGTATCGGGCGCTACATATATTTCCAAAAAAGGAAATTTCCAAAAATAGATTTTTTTTCCAAACTGTAGGTCTCAACGAGATCTACAAGATTTGTTAAGACACCTTTGCCATCAGATCAATAGTTGGCTCGTAAAATGCAAAACACTGAAAAAACGGTTCGTTTACAATATATTAATAGGCTATATCTATAACAAGACCTAATCAGTAGATGTGGGACCTAGTACCACTAGAACACCTTCAAAAAGGCCTTCAAGAAGGCTATCTATGGTTTTTCAAAAATAAGTTCCCACGGTCAGTATACCACTATAGGCCTTATTGAGATCTAACGACACATTGATAATCAGCTTACAAACATAACTTACTGTCAAGAATGTAGTACAGAATCAAAGCTATTAGTCGTCACGAACACGTATATACAAAATTCAAACTAACACTATTCATTCACTTGAAGGGTTGTTTGCTAAACTGTTAGTGTATTGAGTCTGACTATCAGAGTCATTAGAGTCAATACATCCATTAGATTTTCATCTAGGAGTCAGTTCATTCATGAGCTAACAACCATTAGATTGTGTCTAGCACGGTACTAACAACCATTAGTGTAGCACTCAATTGACTTTGCTTCATACTGACTTGACCATTAGACTTCTTAGTGACTCCAACTGAAAGCCATTAGATTTTGAAAGTTGAAGTTAAAGCCATTACATTCTTCAAGTACAAACTGCTCAATTCAACTGAGCTTCATTAGAAACTTTTGAAGCAGATTTTAATGACTATCTAATACTTATTGACTTGTCAAGCCTAGTGACTTTTGTCAGTATAGTAACTCAAGACCGAATAGTCCATATCTTGGGAACCACTTGGCCGATTTGGATAAACTTTGTACCGTTAGAAAGCCACGTACAGCGCTGTCTAGGCAATTTTAAAATCAGAGCAGCAAAGTCCACATATCCCTTGTGCTGTGGTGCGGACCGAATAGTGAATATCTTCTGAGTGTCTTGACCAAATGCCTTGAAACTTTGTTTAAACAAGTCCCCTCGAGTGTGTCCACTAGGCAATTTAGTCATCTGCCTTCAAACATGTACACAAATGCAGAACTACAATGGAATCTACCAAAATGCTATCAGATCAGCCACCAAATAGGCAATATCTCACCAGCCACTGGGCCGATTTTTCTGGTGCTTATACCGTTAGAAAGCGCCTTGAAATCACTACTAGGCAATTGCATAAGTCGTACTTGGGGCATCAGTCTATACCACGGTTTTGCCAGTTTTCTTGAATAAAAGGCAGTTGTGCAGACCGAATAGTGATTATCTCACCAGTCCCTGCATCAATCACCATGAAATTTTGTGCCATTTGGAAGATTATGGAGGCTATTACTAGCCAAGGCTAAAATTACACCTGTAGCCCTCTTCATCAGCCCCCATGGAACGAAACTCATAGCAATGTTCACCTGAACATATCTCACCCAATTCTCTATGAATTCTTATGTTTTTTTGCCTCAGTCTCATCATCTAACATCCTCCTATATACCCACTCAATTTGGAGCCCTAAGGACTCCCCAGTAAATGTCCATAAAAATATCAAAAACAATGAATTTTACACTATTAGGCCACTGGAGGCCCAACCAGGGCTCAACTCAGCTGAGTTTTGCACTCAGACAGGTTAAACATACTTGCCTAACATATCTACAACATATAGACAATGCTCTGAGGAAGTTCATTTTCGGACATAGGGTGGTACCAGAGACACTGAAAACTGCATTAGTGACACTGGTGCCATACTCATATATCCCATGCAACTGACATACACCTTGCAGATTTTTTGCATATTCAAGTTCAGGTACACCTATTCTCGACTTTTCAATCATTCTGAAGGATGTGTAGTCATTAAAATCCTCTCCATGAGTGATGGATCAGGGAGGAGAGGTGTCTAGGACAACCAATGAATTTCAAGATGATATAGTTGACCTCTGGACTTCATGTTGCCAAATGTTGTTCATACAAACCTAATGAACAAGAAAACTGGGCAGAACATGGTTCTAATTATTCTCCAGGGTGTATTTGGTCTTATTTGATATTTACTGTCACTTGTGAATTCACTGGTATTAAAAATTATATCAGATAGTATTGTGGCTGTGGCTAGTAATAGCCTTCATAATCTTCCAAATGGCACAAAATTTCATGGTGATTGATGCAGGGACTGGTGAGATAATCACTATTCGGTCTGCACAACTGCCTTTTATTCAAGAAAACTGGCAAAACCGTGGTATAGACTGATGCCCCAAGTACGACTTATGCAATTGCCTAGTAGTGATTTCAAGGCGCTTTCTAACGGTATAAGCACCAGAAAAATCGGCCCAGTGGCTGGTGAGATATTGCCTATTTGGTGGCTGATCTGATAGCATTTTGGTAGATTCCATTGTAGTTCTGCATTTGTGTACATGTTTGAAGGCAGATGACTAAATTGCCTAGTGGACACACTCGAGGGGACTTGTTTAAACAAAGTTTCAAGGCATTTGGTCAAGACACTCAGAAGATATTCACTATTCGGTCCGCACCACAGCACAAGGGATATGTGGACTTTGCTGCTCTGATTTTAAAATTGCCTAGACAGCGCTGTACGTGGCTTTCTAACGGTACAAAGTTTATCCAAATCGGCCAAGTGGTTCCCAAGATATGGACTATTCGGTCTTGAGTTACTATACTGACAAAAGTCACTAGGCTTGACAAGTCAATAAGTATTAGATAGTCATTAAAATCTGCTTCAAAAGTTTCTAATGAAGCTCAGTTGAATTGAGCAGTTTGTACTTGAAGAATGTAATGGCTTTAACTTCAACTTTCAAAATCTAATGGCTTTCAGTTGGAGTCACTAAGAAGTCTAATGGTCAAGTCAGTATGAAGCAAAGTCAATTGAGTGCTACACTAATGGTTGTTAGTACCGTGCTAGACACAATCTAATGGTTGTTAGCTCATGAATGAACTGACTCCTAGATGAAAATCTAATGGATGTATTGACTCTAATGACTCTGATAGTCAGACTCAATACACTAACAGTTTAGCAAACAACCCTTCAAGTGAATGAATAGTGTTAGTTTGAATTTTGTATATACGTGTTCGTGACGACTAATAGCTTTGATTCTGTACTACATTCTTGACAGTAGGTTATGTTTGTAAGCTGATTATCAATGTGTCGTTAGATCTCAATAAGGCCTATAGTGGTATACTGACCGTGGGAACTTATTTTTGAAAAACCATAGATAGCCTTCTTGAAGGCCTTTTTGAAGGTGTTCTAGTGGTACTAGGTCCCACATCTACTGATTAGGTCTTGTTATAGATATAGCCTATTAATATATTGTAAACGAACCATTTTTTCAGTGTTTTGCATTTTACGAGCCAACTATTGATCTGATGGCAAAGGTGTCTAACAAATCTTGTAGATCTCGTTGAGACCTACAGTTTGGAAAAAAAATTCTATTTTTGGTAATTTCCTTTTTTGGAAATATATGTAGCGCCCGATACTAGTTGTCTCGCTATCGGGCGCTAGCTGCGCGCCCGATAGTGCCCGATTACCCACTATCGGGCGGTATGAAGCGCGCCCGATAGGGCGCCACTGGCTATAGGGTGCTAGCCTTGGGGCCCGATAGTGTCTTACTATCGGGCGCTAGCGGTGCGCCCGATAGGGCACTGACCTTATCCGGCACTATAGGGCGCTAGCCTTGGCGCCCGATAGTGTCTTACTATCGGGCGCTAGCGGTGCGCCCGATAGGGCGCTGACCTTATCCGGCACTATAGGGCGCAATTTATAGCGCCCGATAGTGCCCAATTACCCACTATCGGGCGCTATGAAGCGCGCCCGATAGGGCGCCACTGGCTATAGGGCGCTGGCCTTGGCGCCCGATAGTGGCTTACTATCGGGCGCTAGCGGTGCGCCCGATAGGGCGCCACTGGCTATAGGGCGCTAACCTTATCGGGCACTATAGGGCGCACTTCATAGCGCCCTATAGCCAGTGGCACTCTATCGGGCGCGCTTCATAGAGCCCGATAGTGGGTAATCAGACACTATTGGGCGCGCAGCCAGCGCCCGATAGCGAGACAACTAGTATCGGGCGTTAAGGCTATATATATTTCCAAAAATGGTAATTTCCAAATATGGTAATTTTTTCAAACTTGTAGATCTCAACGAGATCTACAAGATTTGTTAAGACACCTTTGCCATCAGATCAATAGTTGGCTCGTAAAATGCAAAACACTGAAAAAACGGTTCGTTTACGATATATTAGTAGGCTATATCTATAGAAAGACCTAATCAGTAGATGTGGGACTAGTACTGTTAGAGAGCCCTTGACAAGGGCTTTCATATGACTATATGTTTCCAAAAAAGGAAATTTTCTCACGGTCACAATCTATACTGTAGGTCTTGTTCGATATTGGCAATAAAATTTACCTCCGCCCTATACAAGCACAGAGGCCTTTATAGGGCCTCAAAAACTCAAAATTTTCTTCCGGCGCTTCGCGCCCCATAGCCCGATAGCAGCCCGAATAGGGCCCGTAGGGATTTTGGTGGAGCGCCCAGTAACTTACTGCGGAGTACCCCCCCCCATCGCCCCAGTAATTACTGGGCTTATGTGGAAGTGACAGGTGTAAAATTTGTATTAGTGGCGGAGTCAGCGGACCGCTTATTATATTTAACGGTTATTGCTGTTCTACAGCTTGGAAAATTTAATTTAAATTTTATTAAAAATGTTATATGTTATTCAGCCTCATTAAATCTATATAAAATAAACGTTTATTTTATATAACTAATTGCCGAACGAGAAGGGAAAGGCAGAGATATTTAATAATAATAAAACTTTATAGTGAGTTGTAGTTTAATTGGAAAAACACTATCTTTTGGCCGTAGCCGATAGACGTTCGAGTCGTCTCAACTCAGTTTTAATTTTTATGCCTCAATGTTTATAATATAAAAGCTAAATATAGCTTTTTTAGGTTATTAGCTTAAGTTTTAAGTATGCCTAATATAATTATGCAAAGGTGTACTACAGCAGTGCCTCTCATTTTATGCTATAAAATAATAATAATAATATTAGTAGCAGTATTTTAATTTTAAACCCCTTATCACGCATATGTGTAATATTTTTATCTTTATACTGTGGAGGCGCAGCAGAAGGGAGCCCTATTATTATTTATATAAAGAAGACAGAACTCGAGTGGTTGAGTGTCCCACTTTTAATGGGAAAGTCTTGGTTCAAATCCATGTGTTTTCAATTAATAACTACTTTTACGGTGTATTAAATTATGGTTACTATTATTTATTAAATATTAAAGAAGTATTTTTTTGCTGCCCAGCCCCTAGCGCCGGCACCGAAGGCAAGGCGAGACATGCTTGTTTATAGATTTAAAATTTAAGAGGCTAAGTTTAAAGCAAGGTCAATGCTAGCAATTAAGCAAGTGTCAACTATATATTTAACTTCTTATTTACTCTCATTCTCATCTAAATTGAAAAATAAATATATACTCCTCGCCTCGCCTTTGGGACGGCGCCGGCGGTTATTTATTTAAATATAAGAATAAGAGCTAAAGTAAGAAATTACACTAAAAATAGAAGGCGGAGGGCGCGCCCCATAAAATTTAGAGATTTATCTCTAATAATGGTCGTTTCAACAACAAATGTTTGTTACAATCGCGAGCGCCGTCCCTGCCCTCCCCTCACCATAGGTGAGGGGAGGGCAGGGTGGCGAGGCTATTATACCTTCAAAAAAAGTTTTTAGCTTACCTTATACTTATCCAAAGTAGTTACGGTCATACTGATTAGTTATTCCTCCATACAGGTATTACAATTATATTTTTATTATACTATAATATAGCCAGCTTCAGGTTTAGTAGCCGAAGAAAAAATGTAGGCCCACATTAATAAATATAAGATGCAAAATAAATAAGTTTTTAATTACACTGGCCCGGGCCACACAAACTTAGCAGGAAATATTTTTTAATTATCTTTAACTCGTATTTTTATTCTAAACGATAAATATTGCTATATACAGAGATATAACGCAGAGTCTTTTTTTAAATATTAAAAGGAGTTTTATACTTATGCTTTTAACTTCAATATTAACAATAATCACTTTTAGAACCTTACCGGGACTAAATAAAATTTTAAATGAGATCATTTTGACGAATTATGGAACTAAAAAAATTGAGACTAAAATGAACTATATTATTTATACACGAATTACTGCCGTTATATTATTATTAACAGCTTTAATATCGGGGCAAGTTTTAGGTTTCCCTGAAATAGAGGAAGGTTTTTCTATTTATAATGGTTTATTTCAAGTAACTCAAGTTTCTCTATTTATAGAGATATTTATAGTTATAATAGGAGCTTTAATATTAGTGGCTTGACCTGGACTACCTGTATCAGGAACAACTACTACTAATTTTAATAACTATGTAACCAGCCTTTTATCTAATCATATAGCATACACTCGTGGTGCAAGCGAGACGCTTAATATAAAATCAACATCCGAAGCAACTGTGCCTGGATTAATTGTAGGGCAGGTAGGTCTTGTGGATAACAAACACACAGAGCAAACAGAGCGAACGGAGCTCTATCTAAATACAGGAGTTAATTTAGTTAATTATTATCAAAATTACTTAGATAAATCAAAAGATTATGTTATGATTATTTTGTTTAATTTATTTGGGGCTTTATTATTAATATCATCCTTTGATTTAATTTCTTTATATTTAAGTATAGAATTACAATCATTTGCGTTATATATTCTTGCTACTTTTTATAAAGAATCTAGAATTGTTACTGCAGCAGGTTTAAAATATTTTTTACTAGGTGCTTTATCTTCTTGTTTTATATTACTAGGTTCAGCTTTTATCTATGCATTTAGTGGATTAACTAAATTTGATTCTATTTATTGTTTGATATCTACATTTGATCCTTCTGTTAACCATACCCAATTTATCTTAGGTATAATTTTAATTTTTATAGGGTTTTTATTTAAAATAGGAGCTGCGCCTTTACATAACTGAGCACCTGATGTTTATAATGATACTCCTACAATAGTAACAACATGATTAACAATTATGCCTAAATTATCAATTTTAATATTATTATTAGAATTATATTTACAAATAGACGGTTTTGAAGGTTATTTTTTTTCTTTTAATCCCTTTCAAGACTATATTAGGGATATTTCCTCTTTACCGCAAATTGTTTCAGATTTTTTTCAAGTATGAGGAGGAGTAGAAAATTATGAAGCTTATAGACTAGCACATGCAGATATACCAAATATTCCCGCGGATCAGGTTTGAGAAGAGGGAAGACGTACGCTTTTAGCTATAAATATTTCTAATATTAAGGAAATTTATAGTCTTTCGCCCTTCGATCGTTATTGAGATTATTTTTTTAACTGACAAATAGAATTAGGAGGTGGTAGTGATGCAATCCATAATTTATTATTTATTAGTTCTTTATTATCGCTAATCATAGGTACTGTTTTAGGGCTAGCCCAATCACAAATAAAAAGACTTATGGCCTACAGTACTATTTCCCATTTAGGATTCCTACTATTAGCCTTAAGTATAAATACAGAAGAAGCTTTAGATTCATTCTTATTTTATATTATACAATATACTATAACTAACCTAAACATTTTCTTAATAATAATAGCTTTTAATTATTTACTTTGTTCTTTAGTTAAAAATAATTTAGTTATTAAAGACATAAAATACATTTCTGAACTTACAAATCAATACGATAAAAACCCTATTTTAACTGTTAGTTTTATAATTTGTTTATTATCTATGGCGGGTATACCTCCATTTATTGGTTTTTATTCTAAATTATTTGTTTTATTTTCAGCTATTTCAATTTCTAATTATCCGAGCTATCTGATGGGTCCGGGTTCGGCGAGCCTGAGGCCGCTTTGGGCGCACCATGGATTGCCCTTGCGATGAAGCTCCCTGCCGCAATACGGCTAGGAATCGCACCCCTCTTGGGTGCTTTCGGAGATTTCCCGTGCAGAGAATTCGTCATGCCATCAAGCACGGTCTGTTTCGCACCCTTGCGAGACGGTTTCCAAAGGGGAATTTTAGGGGCTGACGCATTGAGTTTCCGCGTCAGATCTGTAACCAACTGTTCCAGGCCTCTGATCCGTTCTTCCGGCTGAATCGGTTCACAGATTTCTGCTGTGGAACGGATCGATACACCTTTCTGCAGTGGCGGCTTATGTTCACCGGACTCCCGGTGGGCGGGCCCAGCTGCAGTAGCCTTCAGTGGCTCGGGTGTTTTCAACGAAGGTACGTCGTTGAAAATCTCAGGAGGCAACATCTGATGTTCCTCTTTGATAGTGCGATTTATCGCTTCAAAATTTGCGTACGCATCGCGTTCTGCGGCAAGCCGATCTTCGGACCAGTCACCATCAACGCTCAAATTTCCCCACTCACGGGGATCAATACCCTTCCCTTTGTCCGGGTTGGAAGGGCCTTCGCCCGACGGAACAATCGGGCTTATTGAAGCTGGCGCCCGGGCTTCACGGGCACGGCTCTCATCACCGCGGGTGTGTACATCACCTTGCGTGGTGTTCTGCTCATTCAAATTGTTGACAGGGCTACTGACAATTTGAATAGAGGGGGTGGATACGCTCCCTACAATTTCTGCGCTGCGCTCACGAGCGACGGCACGCGCTTCAGCGGCCATCAACTCGTAGCGCCGAGCGATCCTTAGCAACTCTTCGCCGCTCATCTGATGAGTTGCCTGAGCGACAGTAGAGGCCGACTCATCAGACGTGTTGCTAACAAAATTGTTTTCATCAGAGACATTGCTATGCAACGAAGACGCCGCGGCACGATGAGTGCGTGCGGTCGCACGGGTAACGGGAGTCCAGCTCCCGTCGTCGGCGCCATCGTCATGGCCCGACGCCCCATTAGTCTCGCAAAAGCTCTGTGTGTCCTCAACCATCTCTTTCCACCACACGTGGTCGCGAAGATAATCAAGGGTTTTCTTTACACCGAGGTGTGCGAGTACGGAGTGCGCCTCCGAGATCACTAGCTCTCGGAGGTTGCTGCCATGGTACGTAATCCTAGGAATACACAGAACACGTCTGTCGGTTTCCTGTAGGAATACAAGACCATTTTCTACCTCGAAGTTTCGATACAAAATCGTCTCCAAACCGGAGTTTGACTTACCTAGACCCATTGGGGACATAGTCGCGCTGTATTCCGAGCACGCACTTGAGGTTATGCAGCCGTTTCCCGGGGATCCCGGTGAATATGAACCCCTTAATGAAAAGCGGTTCTTGGTATACCGAATTTCGGATGATCAGTATGTCATAATGGACAATCAGACTGGTCAGGACGTACCTATTGACGACGACTTGCTACATGACCCTGCATTTAAGCTCGGGCATTGGTACGCATGTCGGCGTCAGATTGCGATCGGATGTCGTCCGTCTCAGATGTCTGATGATCCCCGTTACCTGTTACCGAATTTCGTTGCGCTTCTCCAGGCGCTCGAGATAATGCTAGACGAGGGAGATTCAGGACGATTCAAAGTCTTCCAAGGCATTGAGGAGCAAGCACTCACCGTGTATGATCGCGTCTGGGACATGTCTGCCGAGCTCCTCAAGGAATACCTTGAAGACCCTTCATTTGATCTGTTCGCGTGGTTTGACATTACGGCCACGCCGGCATACAACACATCAGATGACGACTTTGATTTGATATCAGAGCCGACTGCCCTGGAAACGCCGGATCTAGAATTCTTAGACTTGGAGTTGATGCCGGAACTCGAGCCGATCCCGGACTCTGACTACAGCTCAGACAAGGAGTCTGAGTCGCCCGTGATGCTCTGGTTTGAACCGCACTACACGCGCCGTTTGGAGGCGTGGAAGCGAATCCACGGAGCATCGACGGAGTGGC